TTTTTTCAGGATTCTTTGATGAATAAAAAGTTAAAAAGAACAGCATTTATTCAAAATATAAATCTTTTCTAACAATATAAATCTTTGCTGTCACTTCTTGTCAATTTAACACATCCTTGCTGAATAAAAGTTTTAATAAAAGAAAGAATACAAATGTACTGACCCCAAACTTATGAACGGTAGTGTATATTGCTGAAGACTGGAGTAATGATGCTGAAAATACAGCTGCGCATCACAGAAACAAATTACAATTTAATGTATCTTAAAATAGAAAAACATTATTTTACATCATAATAATATTTCACAATATTAAATTTTTTCCTGTATTTTTGATCAAATAAATGCAGCCTTGATGAGCAGAAGAGACTCCTGTAAAAACATTAAAAATCGTTCTGATCCCAAACTTTTGACCGGTAGTGTATATACTAGAAAACAAGACAAAAATACTAAGGAAATCATTTTTTGCAGTGTATTTTCTTATATAGCACATTTCTACTGCCACAAGAGCAGCCCAAAGTGCTGTACAATGCGTTCAAGAAGACTGTACAAAGACAGTAACAAACAGCATCTTAAAAGAAAAAAACAAATATTACGTCTCTCCTAAATCAGACACAAACGGCATGATATAAAAGTGCTTCTTCAAAGCCATTTTAAAAGCGAACAAAGACAGGGCAGAGCGAATGGCTAGAGGTAAGTTATTCTATAACCGAGGACCGACTGTCGAAAAGAATAGTTATATCAGCAATAGTTTATCAGCAGATCTTAAGCTCTTTACTGGTTTATGTAAAGTAGCAAGATCTGACAAATACTGTACGAGGGTGCGAGAACATTTAAAATGTTAAAAATCATTACTAAGGCCTGAAATCGATCCGATATCTAACACGTAACCATTGCAAGAATGCTAAAATTGGAGTTAATCTATCCCTCTTTCTGTGGTTCTATCCCTATTCTATGGTTCTATTCTATCTCTTTCCAATGTGGTTAAAAAAATCAAACATTTAGATATCAAACATATTTATTCTGTGTCTCTTTTTGCAAAACATTTAATTGCCACTGAATACCATGAACAAAAATCAGCAGGCTACATAAAAACTGGACTCGATTAAGAACTGTTTGCGTGCAAAATAGAGCGGCACGATTCTGGATACATTGAGACTTTTTTTTTTTTTATAAATGGAGGCTGTAGTTCTCTCTCAATTCTGAAGAAAAAAATATAAGACGAGTAAAAATCTCATGGAATTTATAATTGGAATGATTCAATGACTCACTCAAGATTTAGTTTCATTACCGGATGAATCAGTGTTTTTGAATAAATCTCTTGAATGAATGACTCAAAGACAAATACATTTTTAACAGCACCTAAAAAAAAGATGCGCACACGAGAATTAATAGGTGGAATTGAAACTGAAATTGAAATGTTAATTTTACAACAAGTATCCGATTCTGGAATTGGAATTGATTTTCGATTTCCAACCCTATTCGGGTGTGCTGTGGAAAATTATCAAAAACTTCCTTATCTCTATTATATTTCATTATTAAATCAGTGCTATGCCAACGTTATGTCTGTTTGTGGGTTTTACAAATATTTAACCAATGAAAAGCATTCAAATGAGCTTCTGACTAAACCTCGTAACGCCATTGGATCCTCAAACTGTCAGTCAAACCTCATAACTCCGCCCCGCATCCATTCAGAATAAAGCGCCGCGACGCGCAGTTTGAAGACAGACGTCTACTTCTTCACAATGAAAGGGTAAATAAAGAACTGATGTTTGAATAAAAGCAGCGTTTTCTTTACTCACTTTAAACACTGTCTATAAAGGCAAATTTTTTGTGTTTAAAGAGCAGAGAAGAGTCTTAGCATTGGCTGTCTAGTTGTAGCCAATACAATTTTGTATTTCAGTTTTATTTATTTTAGTACATCAAGTAAAACTAAATTAAAGTGAGAAATGTTGCCGTGTCAACAAGCTGAAATAAAGTAAGTTTACATTTTTTATGTTTTGTTTGATTTCAGTTAACATTTATTTTATTTCCAGTAACAAAAATGTTTTTATGGATTTAGTTTTAGTTACAGTCTTAGTTATTTTGTTTGCAAGAGATGCTGGTTATTTTCTACTTTCGACATGGCAATATTCATTTATTTTGTTTGCAAAAAATGAAAGATAAGAAATGCACTCTTTCATTAGAAAAAAATATCCCACCTTTAGTGGGATGAGATGAGATGAGATGAGATGAGATGAGATGAGATGAGATGAGATGACATGACATGACATGACATGACATAAGATAAGATAAGATAAGATAAGATAAGATAAGATAAGATAAAATAAAATAAAATAAATAAAATCGTTCAATAATCGTAATCAAGGTAAAGTGTTCAATTAATGGAGGTTATGATTTTAGGTCATAGCGCCCAGCTCTACCTGTAAATATGTGTGGGTGGTCAGGTCCAGCGCGGGCCTCATGTGATGGACTGTGTCCGGCTCCGGTTTGGAAGCGGCGCAGGCGAAACCCTCGCGGTGGAGCGGCAGAGTGTAGCAGTTCTCCGGTAAGAAGGTCCGGCCGGGAAAGAAGGGTAATCCGTGCAGCAGCGTGACGGCCTGAGCGTTCAGCGTGCCGTACAGAGACCGCTGATCCGTGGGAATCTCGTTGGGAGGGTCAGAGGTCATGCCGGGGTCGGGGTGAGGAGGTCGAGCCGTGTGTGTATCGTCCTTCTCGCCGGAGGAGTCGGGAGGCGGCGCTTGATCCGGACACTGAACATCTGGATGTGGTGTCTGGGATTCTTCCAACCCTTCAGATGAAGCTTCCTACAGAGAAAAATAAAAAAATATAAACACGATTTGAGGAATCATTCATGTCTGGATTTGACACTTCCCAGCAAAACAAATCTTTTTTTTTTTTCCCATTACAAATCAAGTGTTATTTTAGTATTGTTCAGATCATATTATTATTTGTTATTATCTTTTAATTCATTACATTTTTAATAATTTTTTATATAATTTTTAATTAATTTTTTATTTAGTTTTATTCATTTTTATTTAAGTTTTAGTTAGTTTAGTGCATCTTAATGAACAACTTAATGAAATGAATGACAAGCTAAATAAAAATTTGAAATGTTGCCTTGTCAACTTGCTGAAACAAGAAAAAAAGTTCAAGCTCTTTTATATTTTACTTGATCAGTGTTATTTTAGTATCATTGAGATAATATAGTTTTGGTTAATATTTTGAACGATTTTATATATTTTTTGCTTTCATGTTAATTTTAGTTCAAGTTTTAGTAATTTTGTAGCTTTTGTCATATTTCTTAGTTTTAGTTTTATCTCTATATTTTTTATTTCAGTTTTAGTTTTAGTTATTTTAGTACATCAGGTTAGACTTAATGAAAATGAGAAATGAGTCCTTGGCAACAAGCTGAAATAAAATAAGTTTAAGTTTTTATTATTTTACTTTATTTCTGTTAAAGTTTATTTTATATAAAGTAAAATTTGTATGGTTTTAATTTTAGTCAACTATAATAACCCTCTTACAAATATCTAAAAATTCTTAAATAAATATACATTTACTTATCGACTATTTTAACACAAAGTCTTGTTTTCTGAAAGATTATCAAAATTAATAATTAAAACCTACTTTTTATCAGAAGAAAAAAATCTACAATTAATCATTAGTTATAAATTATAAATGATTTGTTTATAAAAATAATCTGTTGAAGTAATTATTTTATTGTTCTGTATCAAATGTATCAAAAATGTATCAAGTGGGTTTATGCTTAAAACAAGAAAAAATACCTGTCAGTGGGGCCAGAAAATATTCTTATTTTCCTTTGAATTAAGTTTGTATTTCTTACTGCACTGACATATACGTTTTCAAGTTTTACGCATAAATTCACTTAATTTTGGTAGATTTTTCAAAAAATAAAGACTTCTTATAGACCAAATAGTGCCCAGTAAATGTATCTTGATTTAAAAATGTTTAAATATTTGTACTGAATAAGACAAAAATACAGAGGAAGACTTTAATTTTTTTGCAGTGTTGATGGTTTGATCAGCGAGTTACTCGTTAAGCGCCACTAATGACCCGCCAGATTAATAACAACACATCGATCTGAACACATTCACAGCGTGAATAAAGATGATATTTCTCACCTGAGAATCTGGATTCTATCAAATCTGATTTAATTTGTGTGCTGTATAAATGACTGCGGGGCAGTTTTGATGAAACGGACTGAATTAAATTTAACCTTTCACCACTACACACTGCAAAAAAATTATTCTCTTACTTAGTATTTTTGTCTTGTTTTCTAGTATAAATGTTACCCTGCAGCACAAAAGCAGTCTTAAGTCGCTGGGGTATATTTGTAGCAATAGCCAACAATACATTGATGTATGGGTCAAAATTATACATTTTTCTTTTATGCCAAAAATCATTAGGATATTAAGATCATGTTCCATGAAGATATTTTGTACATTTCCTACAGTAAATATATCAAAACTTAATTTTTGATTAGTAATATGCATTGCTAAGAACTTCATTTCAAATGAAAATCTCATCCAGATTTTCAAATAGTTGTATCTCAGCCAAATATTGTCCTCTCCTAACAAACCATACATCAATGGAAAGCTATTTATTCAACTTTCAGATGATGTATAAACCTCAATTTCGGAAAAATTGACACTTATGACTGGTTTTGTGCTCCATGGACACAAATATCTAAAATTTCTTGAATCAGGATTACTGTACAAGTAAAATTACTTAATATATTATGTCTTGTTGATATTATGTCGAAATTTTGTTAGTTTTTCCTTAAAACAAGCAAAAATATCAGCCAATGGGGCAAGAAAAATAATCTCGTTTAGCCTTTGAATTAAGATTATTTTTCTTGCCCCACTGGCAGATATTTTAGCTTGTTTTAAGGAAAAACTAACACAATTTTAATATTTTTTTTAGAAAGCAAGACTTAATATATTAAATCATTTTACTTGTACAGTAAATGCATCTTGATTCAAGAATGTTTAGATATTTATACTAGAAAACAAGACAGAAATACTAAGTAAGTTTTGCAGTGCAATACTGAAACAAGATTATTCATATTCTTTAATACTGGCTTCCCCATTGAAAAGCATGAAAATGCAAAATTATATTTAGTTTTTTTTTAGATGATGATATAAAGAAAGCGTTTGATCTGTAATATTCACCTTCAGGAGGTTGGGCACGACTTGTCCATTGGAGCTGCTGTTGGATTCGCTGTCAGGACTGGACGATTTCTCCGTCCCAAATCCTGAACTCTCAGTCTGCAAAACATCAGAGAAATGGCTCAGCGTGAGCTCGTTAACACCTACCTCATCATTAGCCTGCAGTTTTAGGCTTGTAAACAATATCTACTTTTTATCAGGAGAAAAACAACATCCAAAATGAATCATTTAGTCATGCATTATAAATGATTTGTTTATAAAAAGAACCTGTTAAAATAATTATTTTTTGGCTCGCAAATTCTAGTCAAACTATGAATATTTAAATCCTTTTTTTATTAATTTATTGCACTGCCTAATGAAACTGGTGATTAAGCAAATTCTTGTTTAATATAAGCAGACAGATGCCAACTATGAAAAAAAAAAACATTCCTGTTGTTCTTCCTCAGTATTTCTCTCTTGTTTTTCAGTACAAATATCTAAACATTCTTAAATTAAGATACAGTTACTTGAGAAGCAAAGTGACTTTAGGTATTAAGTCTTGATTTCTGAAAAATGCATCATAACCGAGTTTATGCTTAAAACAACAACAAATATCTGTCAATGGAGTCAGAAAATAATCACTTTCTCTTTGGATTGTTTTGTTTTCTGACCTCATTGATGGTTATTTTTTCTTATTTTAGGCATAAACTCACTTCATTTTGGTAGAATTTTCTGAAAACAAGATCTAATGCATTTACATTTACGCCTCAAGTAAATGTCTCTTTTTGACCCGGAAGAGAAATAAAAAAACTCTTTAAAAAAATTATAGTTTTTAGTAAGGGAAGGAAACTTTGCAAAGGCTTTGAGACCCTCAAAATACACATCATTTATTTTTTTCCAGATTTTTTACAATTATTTTTAAGAGATGTAATCATGTTTCATGATCAGGTCATTTATGGAGTACCATTAGTGTCAAAAATATGTAAAATGTAAAATTATCTAGTAAGTTAAATTAGTGTCAAAAAAACTTTAATAAAATATATTTAGCCTTTTTGCACATATCAGACCCGGAAGAGAAATAAAAAAACTCTTTAAAAAAATTATAGTTTTTAGTAAGGGAAGGAAACTTTGCAAAGGCTTTGAGACCCTCAAAATACACATCATTTATTTTTTTCCAGATTTTTTACAATTATTTTTAAGAGATGTAATCATGTTTCATGATCAGGTCATTTATGGAGTACCATTAGTGTCAAAAATATTTAAAATGTAAAATTATCTATTAAGTTAAATTAGTGTCAAAAAACTTTAATAAAATATATTTAGCCTTTTTGCACATATCACACACATTTTGGGGTCTGCATTTTGTTGATGTACATAAATATGTACATCTAACGATGAACCACTGCAGCATGAACATTTTTTTTTTTTTTAAGTTTATGGAAGTAACATACATTTATTTTGTTTGAAAACTTTTCAGAGTCATATTTATGTTGTTTTGTTAGAAATAAATATGCAGGTTTCATAAATTCAGATTGTTTTTGAGCAATCATGAGTTTAAATTAATTCCAATAAGGTTACTACTGGTAATTCTCAGATATTATACATTTCATAGCATTACATATTAAAATAACATTTCTCAGCAATAGTATTTTGCTGCATAGTTTTTTGTTGTTGTTGGTGTGCTTCATGTGTATGTGTCTCAATTTTTAATAATCAAAAAGGGATAAATGCACTACAAATATGGTGATAACATGGTAAGTTTTTTCACATTCACTCAATAATGAGAAGTTGCTGATCAGATACAATATGGTTTTAATTGAGAACTATTAAGCTATGACTGTTTAATAAAATAACAATTCTTCAGGTTCAAACGGGCCTGGAATGAGAAAATCATATGTGGACTTTGAATGCATTATGAGGGTTAGGAATTTTTTTATATTTCTAATGGAAAAAGTCAAAATACTGATGAAGAACATTGCATTTCCTCAGTTGGCATCTGTCTGCTTATATTAACAAGCATTTGCTTAATGCAATAAATTAATAAAAAAGGATTTAAATATTCATAGTTTGGCTTGAGTCTGAGAACAATTAAATCATTATTTTAGCAGGTTCTTTATATAAATTAATCATTTATAAGTCATGATCAGAAATCATGTTCTCCAGCGTTCCTACATGTGTTTCTGTGTGATTTGAGCTTGCGGGGTTGGACGCGTCTGAGGATGGGGTTTCTGCCGTCTCGTCCGTCTGCTCTTTGGTGTCTTGAGCTGAAGGTTCCTCCAGATCCGGCTTCTTTTGGACCAAAGGGAAAAACATTAACAGGAGACGCTAACACGAGATCACGCAGGTCAAGCACAACTTCACTGATTCACGTTTCTCAAACCGAACGTCTCCACATTAAAAATGACGGAAAGCCCTTTGGTGTAAAAACACGCTTAAGAAAAGCAAGCAGAACTTCCGGTGAATTATACATGAGCGCAGCTTCATAAACACAACACACACTTCAAGAGACGACTTGCACACTTCAGGAAAAACATCTGCACTGTATCTGCTAACAAGAGCGAGAAATAACTCGATATGGATCGGACGTGACCACACAAACATCTACAACACAACTGTCTTGATTCAATCTTATTTAACAATCATTTCTTACGATAAATGACACTTGCTTTGATTTAATTTATCTAATGCAATGCAATTCACACGCAGAACTTCCGGTGAATTATACATGAGCGCAGCTTCATAAACACAACACACACTTCAAGAGACGACTTGCACACTTCAGGAAAAACATCTGCACTGTATCTGCTAACAAGAGCGAGAAATAACTCGATATGGATCGGACGTGACCACACAAACATCTACAACACAACTGTCTTCATTCAATCTTATTTAACAATCATTTCTTACGATAAATGACACTTGCTTTGATTTAATTTATCTAATGCGATGCAATTCACACATGCATGAACTGAATGGAGCTGAATAATGACTTCTGTACAGCCAATTCATTTCATAATTGATGAATTTTGCAACATTGACACTGTTATTAAACTGGATTGAATAATCATTTAACAGAATTTATCTGAATAATGACACTGTTATCTTCTGTAGAGCTGCTTATAGATAAAATTTTTAATTTTTTTCATAATTGGTGAATTTCACACACTTATTGAACTGAATCAACACTAACTTGATTCAATTGAATCAACTGAATTGTTTGCATCATCGATTCTGTTATTGTCCTGTTTATTTTTGTGAACTACTTTGCAATAATATATGTAGCGCTGTTAAAATAAAAATAAAAAGGTTCAGGATTGCACTGCATCATGCTAATTTCTTCCTTGAAAAGGCCAGGAAAGTGATTCGCTTTACAGTTATTGAAATGAACTGAATCAACACTGAACTGAAATGAGCTGAATAATGATATTGTCTTTTCAGCGTTGCTTTACAGCAGAATCTTAATTAGTCTCATATCTGCTGAAGTTTGCATCGATGCAATCATTTTCAGCTATAAGCAGCTGTGCAGAAGACAACAGAGTCATTATTCAGCTCAATTCAGTTCATGCATGTGTGAATGTCAATGCATTAGATGACAAAGCAAAGCTAGTGACATTTATTGTAAGGAAGTTGCACAAACACACTCTGGTTTTTACAAAGACATCTGAAGACTAAAGTTGAATCCACTGACTTTTTTTGCATCATTGATTCTGTTATTTATTTATTAACAGCCTGTTTAAAGAAAAAGTGCTGTAAAAAATGTGCATTTACTTTATATGCATTTGTTTTTGGGTCCTATAACTCAACAGTTATCATTCAATCTAAAAGGATTCGGGATTGCATTGCATAATGATAATTTCTTCTTTGAAAAAGCCAGGGTATAACTCAACAGTTATCATTCAATCTAAAAGGATTCGGGATTGCATTGCATAATGATCATTTCTTCTTTGAAAAAGCCAGGAAAGTGTGTTTGTGCATATGTCCTTATAATAAATCACACTTAAATATGCAATATCAATATCCAGAGATGTTTGGGTCACTGTAACTCAACAGGTTTCATTCAATCTGAAACGAATATGCACTGCATAATAATCAGTCCTTCTAAGGAGCCAAATGTGAGTGTGTTGTTTCATGCAGACATGTAGAGTTCAGCATTATTCCCAGTGTTTCCATCAGTCAGAATAATCACTGGATCTCCATCATTAAGCACTCTTTTTATATAAAGTTTTTTATATAGTGTGTTGCTATTGTTGCTATGCAGTTGCTAAGGTGTTCTGAGTGGTTGTTGGTGTGTTGCAAATGCTTACTAATATAATAGTGATGCTTGACTTGGAAAATGTCACTAGAAATGGGGAAAATGGATTTCGACTCATTTGGCTCTTATGAAACTTAATTTATTATAGTAACTGCAGTTCAACTATAGTATATGTAGAAAAACGCCGTAACCACAAGTTTACTATTATTTGAACTATATCTGGGTAACACTTTATTTTAAGGTGTCCTTGTTACACGTTACATTAATTGTTTTTATACTATTATAATAATAATTAATTATGCACTATTGCATGCAAGTAACCCTAAGCCTAAGACCTAAGAATCCTAACCACATAGTAAGTACATGTAGTTAATTAATATCACTCAGTACTTAAATGCATAATTAAACTGTAACAATGACACCTTAAAATAAAGTGTAACTGAAATTTGTAGTAAAGGGAATAATAATAGTAATAATAATAATCAATTTGGCAAAATAAATCACGGATAGTACAGTTTTGCTTATGCAACAACACTAGCTTTTGTCCTGTAGAGAATACAAGTGGTGTTTACCTGTGAAAACAGTGTTGATACTGTTGCTATTTGGCCCTTATGAAACAATCAACTTACTATAGTACCCATAGTTCAACTATAGTACAGTATATGCACAGTATAACCACAAATTTACCATGGTTAACATTATTTGAACTATAAAATTTGGGAATAATAATCATACATTTGGCAAAAATAATCATAAATTTGGTTTCACTTATGTAACACCATAGTTAGTTTTCACAAGGGAGATATGAGCAAAAATACACGAGTAAGTAATCCGAATGAGAACGAAACAAATGCAAATCTGATTAAAACACTGTAAATGACTATCAAATCTGTTTATGAAAATTATGCACGTAAGGAAAGTCGTTTCAGAGGTGGAGCAGGTGATGAAAGACTATACGCACATTTAGAAAGACATGCACTGAAGAATGAGCCGCAATAAGAACATGAATTAAGCAAATAGGGTCGATTCGTGTTTTTCAATGCTGAGTTCCCAGCTCACTATGCACCAGATGATTTTACGCGGTTTGTAGCCCGTCTTACCCACTACGTCATGTGGCCCATCCATCCATCCATCATCCATGTCATGCACATCAGCTCAGTGTCAGTGAGTGGCTCAAGGGCAGCGGATCCGCTGTCACAAGCCCAAGTAGGACACATGAATCACGGAGCGCCGCGCAGCTGCCCGTTTTTGGTAGTTGCGCCGCATCCAGCGCGGCATCAGAGTTTAAATCTCACTGTCAGACGCGCAAGAATACAGAACCCCTGCGGTATAAGCGCTAGCGCACGCATGCCGCATCAATTCTCTGTATTTACACGCGATCGCGCCACACGTGTGAAGCTGCAAAGCAAACAGATCCAGAGCAGGCGAGGCGATGCCCACCCAGCCCTGGCATCCACTGCTACTGCAGACGCACAAGAATCACCGCGCTGCGGGAAAAGCGACGAGAATTATGTTTATTTAGAATAATTTATATTAAATATACTGTATATGTGTGTGTGTGTGTGTGTGTGTGTGTATTATACACACATGCGCACACACACACACACACACACACACACACACACACACACACACACACACACACACACACACGCAGCGCAGTGTGGAGGAGCTGCTGAATCAACAGCGATTCACACACACTCTTCACCGCCCGGCGAGGAGGAGAACCACATCTAGTTAGTGTTTGCCATTCATTAAATAAGAACCCACAACCTTTGGGTTACAAGTCCGACTCCCTAACCATTAGGCCACAACTTCCCCTAATGAGATCATTAGCGCTCATTAACCCTTGTATGGTGTTTGGGTCTGTGGGACCCGTTTTCAAGTTGAATCAAAATACAAAATTATACTATAAATTATTTTTTCTAACTCAGACGCATTGGCCTTGGCTCATTTTCTGTGAAGAACATACAGTATATCAGAACAAATTTTCAATGACCACTCACTGTACACCCCCCTACACACTTATATTACATACAGGACCCGGGGCTAATAAAAGACTGGAAATTTTAGGTCCTGTGTACATTCACTCTGTCCTCCTATTGTCTGGGCCTGCTATTAGTATGTGTATGTGTGTTTATGCGTGTGT